ATGCTCATCATAGGAAAAGAGAGAGAGAGACAGAGAGAGAGAGAGAGAGAGTAGAAAGATAGAAGAAAGTGTTTTCCATTCTTCATTTGATAGAATTTTTTGGGCCACTCTCAGTCCGAAATTTGGAAAAATCTGACAAAATTTGGCAAAGTGCTTGATACTAGTCAATCTGAAAACATTAGAAAAACTATAGACAAACAATAGATGATTGTCACAGGAAGAAATTATTCAGAAATATCGATTAAATGATTTAATATCAATTGAGATAATGTCCAGTCCAATGATGTTGACACTAATTTGATTAGCCAATCAAAGCATGCATACAATAGAAGATCTACATCCATACATATTTAAAGGATGATTAAATTCAAGAAACAACCGTGTGTGTCGCAGCGGTACCTTGAACGATATCAACGATAGAATTGCAATCCAATCTATTCTGTTGTATGAAATTTTATACAAAAATATCATAATATTCTGAACTGCATATTTCAAAATCTAGTCCAAGTACTGGTGTTTGTGTCGCCGTCTTATAATCCGGTCAGTTGTGGTATTTTTTTAAATATAGATATCCCAGCAATTCATTTCGCACTTTTTCTAGATCACCTTATACAATAGGGTTCTCTTTTAACCAAATTTCGAATGCATACTCAAGTTTCGGTCGGACTAAGATAATTTAAATTGTTTTTACACTGGTGAAATATCTGTTTTCTCTGATTATATATCCTAACATCCAATTAGCAGATTTCATAATATTGAAAATATGGTTGGAAAAGTAAAAGGAGAATATGAGTTCTCCCCAAATCTTTAACTTGCTCTACACGCTCTAATACTTAGTTATCCATTATGTATATTAATTTATGTTGAATTAGAGTTTTTTCTTTTAAAGACAAAGCACGAGCACTACAGCAAAATCTTTAAGGCGCTCTCAGAGCGGTGCCTGTGCGAAAGTAACGATTCACATTGGATTTTAATCGATGGAGATTAAATCCATTTGGAAAAACGTTTTCAGGAAGTTTATTCCACATAAACGCAATCCTCCAAATGCAAGAGTTCTTAAACAGTGTACCGAGTTGAACCTCAAAACGATGAGCAGCCACAGTCCGTCGCGTATTTGTGATATGTACCGCTCTTGGTGCAATCAAATGTGCCAAGTCACTTGAACACTTCCCGTGAACGTATCTATAGAAGAGAGACAAATCTCCAACCTCTCTTCGGTGTTCCAGGCTATCTAGGTTGCACGTGACGTTCGCGTCTCCAGTCAGGCGGATACCTCTTCTGGATGGAATCCAACAACTTCAGGGTATGTTTGGAGGCAGAGCTCCATACATGAGAACAATACTCCAAAGAAGGTCTGATCTTGAGCTTTATAAAACATCAAAAACTGCTGAGGTGTATACAGTTTTCTGGTTCTTTCGGAACAGGGTTCCAAGCTTTTGAGAAACAGCATTTGCAATTTCAGCGACATGAGTGTGCCAAGACATATTGGTGTCCATTTTTTAACCCCCAACAAACTTATCGAAGCAGAGAGCGGAATTTTCCGACCTGACATTATTATATCCGGTTCGGAAACATTTATCTTATTGGAAACAAACGAGGCCTGGGTTTTTGTGGCATTGAATTGAACCTGGTTACTTTCACTCCAATTCGAAATCACTTCTAAATCCTCATTAAAATATGCAACCCTCTGCTACTGGTGAAGAAGCTAAGGCTGAGGTCGCACTACGATTTAATCCCGCCAGCGGTAAACCGCAAAACCGCCCGAGACCAACACAACCGCGAACAGGCAAGCAGAAAAAAAAATTGGGTCCATTACCCAACAAACTTATCGAAGCAGAGAGCGGAATTTTCCGACCTGACATTATTATATCCGGTTCGGAAACATTTATCTTCTTGGAAAAAAACGAGGCCTGGGTTTTTGTGGCATTGCATTGAACCTGGTTACTTTCACCCCAATTCGAAATCACTTCTAAATCCTCATTAAAATATGCAACCCCCTGCTACTGGTGGAGAAGCTAAGGCTGAGGTCGCACTACGATTTTATCCCGCCAGCGGTAAACCGCCAAACCGCAAAACCGCCCGAGACCAACACAACCGCGAACAGGCAAGCAGAAAAAAAAATTGGGTCCATTTACTAGCAAGTTTTCGGATCAATTGATTTAACTCCCGAACCGCCGGCGCTGAAGAAAAGAAAAACCAATTTAGACTTACCTACCCGATTTGAGACTAGCCGAAGATTTAAGAAAGGTTTCTTTCATGAAAAGTATCAATAATTGAGAAAACATCCTGATACATTTTTTAAACTAGTATCTAATGTCAGTAGCCAGTTTCGATAAAATTTTGCCGATAGATCTAATTTCGAGATGATTTCTAAAATAATAATCGTAATTTTATGGTGTGAAGAGCATTATAATATGCATGAAATGCTTCAGGTAACTACCGTATTCATTTGGTAAGGATTAATATCGTATCCGTCTATATTCCAATTATCACATTATATGCGACCATTATTTTAAACACTGAAATAGTTAAAGTAAGCTATCCTCAACCAGCGGCGCTTCGTCAGAGGAGGCAAGGGAGGCTTAGCCTCCTCATAAAAGTTGAGGCAATTCATCACAATGGATTAAAAGATATTGACAAATAATTAGCATTATTTTTTTCTAAAAATGCTTGGGTATCATTACTTTACCATTAATTTTTAATATAAATACATAATGTGCCCGAAAAAATACTATCACTCACTACGTACTACGTACCACACTATATCCTCCATCAACAAACTTCAAACGCACCGCCCATGAACGAATAACGAATAAACCATCAACCCGAAATAATAAATGCCATACGTTGCAAGGGAGCCAAGCCTCCGACCGCTTTAAAAACACAAGCTCCGCGAGACCGAACCAACCAGAGACATACGTCTCGATTTGTATTTTGGTTACGGAAATTATAGGGTTAGAGTTAGAGTAGGGTACAGTTTGTCTCCGTTAGTGTACGATTGCGTTTGTTTTTTATTTAATTATTCAGACGGAATGCCGTGACCAACCGGGACTGAAAAATATTTCGGTAAATCATTTTAGTGTTTCTTGTTAATATTTGTTATTTGTATATGAAACAGGCAGTATTGTATTATAACAGTGCTTTAACGTGTTATCATTCAATTCCAAGGTGTTTTCAGGTTTTCACTTTAAGGTACTTTTGGCAATTTGGCACTTTTTTAAACGGTAGCGTTTTTTCGGGCACCTCAAAAACCATCCAAAATGAGCTTATAGACAGTGTGGCATATATTATCAAGGAAAATATGAGCAAGGAGATTGAAATTTTTTTTTTTGGATAGGAAATTGATGAAACTACCGATATTACCTGTACATCACAACTTTCAATCGTTTTTACATATGTCAAAGATGGTAATGTGGTAGAACGATTTATAGGTTTTCATTATGTTTCATCTGGGCGCACAGCTGACGATTTGTTTAATATGTTAATTCGTACGTGTGACACCTATAATTTTAGGCAAAAGTTAATTGCGCAAACCTATGGGGCTGCGGTCATGGCCGGCCATTTAAATGGTTTACAAACTAAAATAAAGTCCATAGCTCCTCATGCAATTTTTACGCATTGTCATGCACATGCCCTAAATTTAGTATTGAGCAAAGCGTGGAACAACATGAAAGATTGCCGCGTATTTTTTCAAGTTTGTCTGGATTTTCGGCATTCTTTTCAAAATCCAACAAAAGAAGCCATGTTTTAAATGAAATATGTGGTAGCCGAATGCCAACTTTTGCTGCTACGCGTTGGAATTCTACNAACAGAGTATATTTTTAGAAAAGAAAGGTTTTGGCTTTCTACTTCTCCATCTTTAAAAAAAATGTGTCGATTTTCCAAAAAAAGCAAAAAAACAGTCAATTTCAAATTCAAACTCTAAGATTTGTAGATCATACAAAGAAGTAACTTCCTGACACAAACTGGAAAAAAACCCTCTCGTAACGACTACTTTCATATAAACATTGAATTACACGAAAGAAAAAAGAATTTCGAAACAACAACTTTCATATCAACGCTGGCAAAAAACAATCTTTCCTATTTAGTTCGTATTTCAAAGATTCATTATGAAATTGAATCAGATATCATTCACAGGATTGCTAAACAATATTATAAGTAAACTCAATTCGACTTTAGTCACGAATCGGTTAGATCTACCAATGTCATCGATAACAAAACGCAATGGCAGTTTTTTATGAAGATGGAGAAGTGAAAGCCAAAACCTTTCTTTCCCATAACAAAAACAAAGAATACATTTTGTATAGGAACAGTCATTAAGATAGGCAGGAATACTTTAAAAACATAGCAGTCGAATAATTTCAACATCAATTGAAAAATTGAGGTATTTTCAGTTAATACAACAATTCGTAAACTATAGCCCAAAAGCAAGCCATTTATGATTGATTCATCACCAAAAGCGTTGTTTCTGTTATAGTAGAGGAAATATCTCAAGTAAACTCTGGAATGAATGTATTAATTTTAGACAACTCAACTTTTCATTATGTCAAAATTAATCTCTCAACTACCTATAAACATGTACGATGTGAACGAAAACAAATTAACAAATTATGAAAATGATAGTTTTTCAACAGTTTCGACCCACTATTGGTCTCATCACTGGCTTTAACTTGGTTATTTCTCTATTTGAGAATTATCCACCTCCATCTGACAAGAATTCCTAAACGTTGTAGCCCATAGCTTTTATCTCTGCGAGTAAAAGCTTCAGCTTCTTTGATGAAGAAGACATAACGGAACCACTGAAATCATCTTTGAACTGGACATAATACCGATAACCTGACTTGGATGGACAAAAAGGTCCACATACATCAGCATGTATTCGTTGTGCAGCAACATCAGTTCTGCCTCTGATACCAAACTTCATTATATGAGCTTTTCCGTAAACGCATGCGCATCGTTCACAAAATTCACTGTCCAAATTGACATGTATACCAAGTTACTCAAGTTCCAAAAATCCATTTAATTGTTCAATATTATATTGAGAGTACAGCCTTCTGCTATTTTTTAAGTGGTCGTCAACTTTTCTTTTTTCTACCTGAGTGGCAGTCTAGCAGCAATCATTTGGCACTTATTGTCTGCTTGATTGAAGTCTTTCAACTCCTTCTCATACTTTGTTTTCTGAGTTTGGGTTGCTGGTAAAGGTTAGGGCAAAGTTAATTTTCCTTCAACTACCTCAGTACTAGTACCGCCTTGAATACTTCGTAATAGTAAGTTGCTCTTGTATTTCCATGATGACCAGTTTGATTCGCCCTCAAGTAATCCTATTTGTATTTTAGTTGCATCCATTTTGCTTTCGGTAGAGCTTGGATTCAGCTGAATAAAATGATTGCTTCAGAACATTTGTCAATGTCAAAAATTTTCAGCAAGAAAAATTTCAGCAGTTTCTTATAATTTGCAAATATTTCTTACATTCTGGAACCTCAGGCTAACCAACCACGCTCTGCTACCATGTTGAAGTAGAGGAAATATCTCAAGTAAACTCTTGAATGAATATATTAATTTTAGACAACTTCACTCACACTTTTTATTATGTCAAAATTAATCTCTTAACTACGTATAAACATATACAATGTGAACGAAAACAAATTAACAAATTATGAAAATGGTGGTTTTTCAACACTTTCGACCCACCATTGGTCTCAACAGTGGCTGAATCACAAATGCATTGCTGGACTCACCTGGCCTTGAAGGACAAGCCTACGTAAGTAAGGACCTTAAAATGTCTCCTCACGAAGACGCCATCTATGAGATCGACAGAGAACTCAATTCTCGAATATAAAAGATTAACGAGGCTTCTCAAGGCGGTCAGTTGCAAAACCAAGTTTCGATATCCACCGTCGGCGAGATTAGTTCTCTGCTATTCACTACATCTTTCACTGCAAGGCAACTATTTGTAAACTAGAGCCCAAACATAACGTATTCATGATTCAACACCAGGAAGCGCTCGTTCGACCCGTGTCTGCGCCCTTACTTTCTTAGGCTTGTCCTTTGAGAACAGTTGAGGCCAGCATTGCATTTTTGTTTCAGCCTAGCATCACTTACGAGACCCATATGAATTCTTTCAGATTCTTACTTGATTTAATTTAATTTGGTGAATGTTCTGGGTCCACAATAGTTTGCGGACTTATTTTGCACCAATAAGAAGGATTGTTTGGATTTTATTTTTCATTGGCGTCTATATCATGCAAATCTCTGTTTAAAAAAGAATCGTTTGATAGAGTACGTCGACAACTCATAAGTAAATAGACAAGTTAGAGTCAAAAAACAATAGGTTGTAGTGAATATATTACGACAGACCTCTTCTACAAATAACGAATTCACAGCGAAAATTAGATTCGTGAGTCAGGAAAATATTTTTTGCCATAGTAGAGTTGCCTTTTTGAATACACATCAATTCTGTCATACTCACTATATAGTCGAAGTAAACAATATTGTGCACATTTGAAGTTGGCGCCACTCTCAAAGGCCAATACACCAATACATAGAAATGAACCGGCAGCGAACTAGTCTACGTGGACTGTAGACTTGACGGTTCGTATTGGATAATTTTTACTAACCAAGTTTTATAATTGGCTTAAGAGTCATATAAGTCATATAAGTCATGTTACGGTGACGAATAGAAATCGAGGAATGCGGGGATGGTTATCGCCGTCGTGTTCAGTTCAGGAACTGATCGCGATTTGAGTGTTGAAATTCGATATAGGTGCAGTTATAATTACTCAAAATTTGTGTTATCTGTTTAAAGTGTGGCGTCCTTGGACAAGTACTAATAGTGATGACGAGTGTGATAACAACGCAGACTTTTTCCAGTGTAGTAATTCCAATAGCGATGGTAAACAATGCGAAAAAGAGATATATACCAGTGAATAAGATTCGGATGCATTTGAATATTGAAACACAGAGAGTATACATGTTTCAATGTATATAAAAATCTACATCTAAAGTTTGGTTTCGAGGGAAACAAACTATCACAAGCGACATCAGATTTGACCGAAATTCCTTTCTCAACTGTACGTAAAATAGTCAAAAACAATCCTTATGAACGCAAGATACGATGTAATACAGGATTACCAATAATTTCAGATGTGCATCTAATAAAATCATTGAAAAAAACAATATACGACTGTTACAAAAGCAATGAGATTCCTACAACTGAAATCATAAGGAAAAAATTGAATACTTCCGGCTATAACGTCAGCTGCTGTGACAAAACTCACAATTGGATAAAGAAACTAGGATTTAGATTTGAAATAATAAACAAACGTCATGCATTTATGGAAAGTAGAAGAATAGTGGAATTGCGTAACAAATACTTAGAACAAATAACTAAATAGGCATAGACAAGAACAACGGCGGGTTTTTCTATTTGGAAGAAACTTGGGATGACACTCACGATACAGTTACGAAAAGGTGTAATGATGGTTCGAGAATGTGTACGCCTAACATGCCTGCAGAAAAAGGATCGCGACTAATTATTGTGCATTGCGGAGGAAGTGAAGGATGAGTTCCAAATTCTTTGAAATTATGTGGAGAAAACTTGAGGACTGCAATGTTGACTAGTGTAATAGTTCTTGACAACGCTTTCTATCATTCGCGACAGCTCATCAAAGTACCGAATAAAAATTCGAGAAAAGATGAAATACAAAGATTTTTAATGAATAACAATTTGTATTTTGAAGATTACTATACCAAAAACCAACTACTTGAAGTTTCACAGACAAAAACATTGGAAAAAGTGTATGCCCTGGAGAGTATGGACACACCATACTGAGACTTTTCCCCTATTTTTGTGTTTTCAATCCCATCGAGTTGATTTGGGGAAAATTGAAACAAAGCTCAGTCGTGAAAATAATTTTCCAAAATTTGATAAGAGGGTAATAGAGCTAATTAAAGAAGAAGTATCTAATATTACCAAAGAAGACTGGCAGAAAAGGATTGAAAAAGTAATTTTAGTTGAAAAAAAAGACTATATGGAGATTGAACACATCCATATTAATGGTGGAAATAAATTCATTATTGATTTGAATAACGACAGTAATAGTGATACAGAGAATAAGGGAATATAGAAGAGGAATATCAGAAGCTTTCGAGGAAAGTTAGTGAAGTGTTTTTGAAGCGATCGATGGTATATTTTCAATCATCACCCTGTTATTTGAATCCCAAGTTTCCCACTTTGGAAGATTGCCACATTTTTTTGTATAAAGATGAAAAAGTGGAAAGCCAAAAAAGGGTCATGATTACTGAAGAATTAGAGGCCGCGACTAAAACATTTATTTTTCAGAAATTCAATACTCCCAGGTAGCATCAGCAAGGAAGTATCATTAGTGTATGTGATTTAGTTGAAATGGAGAAACTCGTTCATGGGTTATTGATGTGCATCAAATACTCCAGCTTCGTGCCCATATATGAGGGTACTAATTGTCATTTTTCCTTCGATATCATTATAACGATAACAACACCTCCTCATCAGATGAATAAGGTTATCCTTCTTAAACTGTCACTTGTCCCCAAATATGACCTAGTGATAAATGTTAATACAGTGATGACATACTAAATTCTGAATTTTTAGGAGTATGAAATAAAAAGATCATAGATAAAAATACTCCCCCTCCACATGAGATAATGGCGTCATGAAAAACACCCTTTCTAAGTCAGATGAATATTTTTTTTTTGTAAACTGGCACTTGTCCCCAGTCCTTCAAAATAATGGCGTCATAGAAAAAAAACATCCCATCTACGTCAGATTGATAATTTTTTTTCTTCATAAATTGTCACTTGTCCCTGATTGAGACTAAGAGGAGAATGTTGAAAAAATAATATTTTCATTTCTGAATTTTCAGTCCCTCAAAATACCGCCGTCACAGAAAAAAAGACCCCCTTCACATCGGATGAATAATGTTTTCCTTCTTTAAGTGTCCCTCATCCCCAAATACACACATCGGAAAAGTCTAGGGATATTTTTATAACATACTAAATATCATAAAAATAAATGCATGAGGTCGTTTAATTTCGATTAAATTGGTACACTTGACCACCCTGTAGATTTCTATGGGTTGAACAAAGCCTGCAAAAACGNTAGCTAGTAACAGAGACTTTTCCGATGTGTGTATGACGGAGAGGAAGGAGGTTTTTTTATAACGACATTATTCTATGGAGACTTTTCTCATGATCTCAGTAATTTGAGGGACTGAAAATTCAGTGTACACATCATTCCTCTGATAACGGTTTTTACTCGGTCATAACTGTGGACAATTTACAGTTTGGGAAGCGAAATATTCCACTTAAGTTGGGGTTTACTTTTCTATGACACCGATATTTTCCTAAAAATTAACTATTCAATAAAATAATTCTTCTGCAGAATTTTTCACTTGGTCATAAATTTCACCAGATGTAATCCAGCAATGAGGTTGTTGTGTGTTTTATTATTAACACGCTTTCATTATCTTCACCTGTATGTATGTATCTATGTATGTTTGTTTGTTTGCTTGTAACTCTCAAGTTCGGGATCTGTATTTAACAGAGTTAGCGACATTATTGCTTGATTTATTCGCGGGCAGATGGCGCTGTACGTAACCTCCTTGATATATCGACATTATTGCTTGATCTATTCGCGGGCAGATGGCGCTGTACGGAACCTCCTTGATATAATTCGAACTAACTTTACATGTATTTCGTCATTTGAAAAAAGTTTTTTTATTCATTAACATTTTCGAGAATTCTGTAGACGGTTCGGTACTCGTCTAGAATTTTATTTACGATTCCAGACTGCATTCTTTCTAGGAGAGGTCATGTGTTTGTTCCATGAGTCGGCTGGGCGTATCAATTCAACCCGTCAGGGGCGGCTTCAGATTCGTTACAATAATATTTTGAAGTTTGAACTTCACACAAGTGACGAAGCCGACGAAGGTAATAGTAGACCCACCGCAGATCGGACAGTGGAGTGTGAATCAGTGTGCACCACAATAAACCGTTGCGGATTGCAGCACAGGGTCGAATAGATCGATATATAAATTGAAAGTGGTATATTTTCAAAAGATATGAATCTTTGGAAGATTCCCAATTTTTTTTTGGAAAAGTAGAAAGTAGTAAGAAGAAGTAAAATGCCATAACATGTTCTTTTCCCTAAAGATCCGTATATTTTCGACCTACCAACTCACATCATAATACATAGGTATATATACAGCAGCGGAACGGCGAGTCAATTTGGTTTCCTTTTTTTAATAAAATTCCAATTTCATTTTTCAACTGTTGAAAAATAAATGCCAAATAATGACACCCCTCTCGCCCCCCCCCTCCCTTCTTGAAATCAAATGGGGACCTGTCGTGACTAGCCCTGGATATTAGTTTAATAACGTCCTAAACTAAACCAATAGAAACATTTAACTATTCTATAGTGATTCAAAAATTCAAACGTGAACAGTGTTGCCTAAATTCAATAAAGTATTTCCGAATGAGGAATTTTGTATATTCATACTACCATAACGTATAACTTGTTATTCTAACCTTGATCGTGAGGAACAGCGGTAGGCGGCTTAGAAATAACGCAAAACGCAACCATCGTTTTATTTTAAACGCAAAAAACAAAACATTTGGGATTCGCAAATCGCGTTCGTTTGTTTTTAGATCGGACCAGTCACCTGCCGACTGAGAACGTATTACGATCCGTTCCTCGTTCACTCGACCTGTTGATAAATAAATTAATTCCCGATAGGAGGTACGTCTAGTTCATAGTGTACGACATTTGTTTATATAATGTGTGAGAATGTACTTCTCAAGGTATTCGCTGGTACAGAGAATCTATATTTTAATGCTCGATAAAAATAACTACCGCTCTAGATAAGCAAATTTCGTACCACTATGATATCCTGTACGAAATAATCGCAACTGATAATAACTCCAGCTTGTTAAGCGTTTTATTTATCATTTTATGCACACAACGTGTTGTTTTGCGGTGAAAAGATGACTTTCCTTTGAATTTATGAATATCTTCCTGAGTTGCTACAAAAACAGGTTAGTAAACAATGTTTTTAATTTTTTATAGGTGAATGGTGTGGTTTTACATGGTCGATGTCATCTTAATGCTTCGGCTATCATTAAAGGCCTATCCGGACCAACATTTAGAGTTATAATTTTAAGGTAATTTTATTCATTGCTTCTATCAAAACAAACCTCAAATCATCTGATGCCACATTTATTGTGCTTATTGTTTATGTAGCTTATTTGCATTCAATAATGTTGAAGAGTGAAGGGAAAACTTGCAGAATCAGCATTCACGTTTCAGTTGTATGTTTTCTAATGAATTGCTTTTTGGTTATTACTTTTTTCCTTGTTTGCATGTTCAATTTAGCCATATTAATAAAGTAGTTTATATAACCAGCTATACACACGCACGCTTTTACGAAAATTGTTGCCTACATATATCCTATCCTTATGATCAAGATTTCCTTTAATTTTACTTGATATTCAATTAATTACCTGAACTGATTACCTTATTGTGCAGTAGTTATTCAATACAGCCTAATAAATTCGTTAATTCATATTATAGAATCACCTTTTTTGTGCTTTCATTTCCGTGCAAAATTTAAGGTTAACTTTTCTTAGTTGTTGACTATCATTGATAAGTTACATTTCAAGGTTCATTATGTATTTGTTTTTTTAATTATTTCATCTTCTCTAATTTCTTATGATTACTGTTGTGGCTTACGAAACCAGTTTTGAAATATAATTATATATTCTGTAAGTCAACATTTGTAGGTTAGATGTAATGTTGACACTTATATTTTCTCAGTATTTTTTATTATTGGGGTATTTAGGTGCATTTGAGTAAATCATTGTTATATCTAATAGCTCTTTATTTTTACAGGCGAAAAACTGCCATCGATGACATCGCTGTTAGACCCATCACCCAATTCCCTGTTTCGCTGGCAGAGGAGGTGAGTGAATTTTTATTTTATTTTTGATTTCTGATTTTTCACTCTTATTTCCAAGCCACGCATTCGCATGAAGACACAGTATAATTTTTTTTTCAATGAGTAACATATGGTCTTCTTAAAACCTTATGCCTACATTCGTTTGGCATTGAACCATTTGAACATCGGGATGTATATTGTTTATAGTTTTTCGAATATAATTTTTCCAAGGAATGCAATTAGTGCCTGACTATCCCAGTCCAATTTCGAATGGATCGCTTTAATTTATTCAAGTTAAGTTTTTTTAAGGAACTCAAATGTTGCTAAGGATTACTCAATTATATCTACACTTCTACACGAAATAATCTTTTAAGTGAAAGTTGTTTAATGCAAGTTGTCCTAAATGACAAGACTATCAACTTTGCTCAAACCTTCAGGTTTGAAGGACGAGTGCAACCCTTAATAAAATAGCTGAACATTCATTAGAAGTATGAAATATATGTTTCTGATTATTCTCAAGATCCCATAGTTGCTGAATAGGTAGTTTAAAATTATTTTGTATTATGAATAACAAATATATTCCGGAAGAATGTCCTTGAAATTTGAACAGTCTATAAATGTATTGCTTTTGTTATTTTTGTAGTTTTGGTTGATTTTCGAAGGCATATAAATTTGTATGTATGCCCTTATAGTTTATTTAAGAAAGTTACCAATTATCAGTAGTGGTTACATGGAAATTTAGAATTGGTACTCACATCAGTATGATTTGTAATATTCCGAAAAGACTCAGTCCTAAAGGTTTCTCTAGAAATTTAATTCAATTTTCTGCTTACCTTTAAGATACCAGAGTTTCTTATTTCTTGGACCAGTCAATATTTCAGATCAACTCAATATTATAAAGATATTTTGAAAGTTTGAAAAGTGATAACCTCTGTTTACATTTGATTTTTTGAAATGAACATGTGAATTTGTCTAAAAAAGTTTTATTCAATCATTTACTATAATTCAATTTTGAAACAAATAGGTGTCAACGAAGTGAAATGTTCTATGTTTTGGATGCAGATAAAAATTTTTAGCTATAATTATGATTTATTGGGTAAGAAAATTGAAAGTGTTTCTTCCTATCGCCAACCAAATAAATGAAATCTCATTTTCTAGAATGATCTTACATCTTTCTTTTTTCTTTCAGAAATCATATAGTTTTTGAAGAACTTTGTGCACTTCTGAATATGAACTTGAATAAAAGTTGTGTCTTCCTTACTTCTGTTTAAAAATTTAACACTGTCAAATTTTATAGAGCATTTCGTTTTCTTATTTTATATTTTAAAGGGCTTCAATTCTATCAATGTAAACATTTATTAAGTAACATCCAGCTCATTACTGGTAAAAAAATTTCAGAAATCTGCTTTGAACAAAATTTTATTTCCTTGAAATAAATGGTAAAGCTGCATATATAATTCAGTACTAATCTCAAACCAATTAATTCATCCATTTTCAACAATGTTTTAAAGTACATACAGTAGAGACTTCGAAAGTATTGAAATGGGAGGCGGGGTTGTAATTGGAAATAGAAGTGCTAAAGATAAAATAGCAAATATACAAAAATATACCCCTTTCAATTTAAACAAATATATATGTATTTGTGCTTTTTTGAAGTTTCTTTCAACTAACACACTCCTAGTAATATTCGAAGTAATGTTCAGTTCAAATCAGATGTTGTTTTTCCTTTATAAAAAACAGATATGACAAAAATTTTCTCTCATATTACTTGATATAATTTATTTCAACGAAATGTTTACCTTTTGAACATAATTCGAAAAACTGATTATCATTGCACTACATGATTCATCTTTTTCACAGATGTTAGTCTTTTAAAAGGCAGTGTCAATATACTTTTCTATGAAAATTTTTATTTTTTAATAATCTAACACAATTTGAAGTTTTGTTAGGAACATCAATCGGCAACACCACTGACTGAAATTTATTGTTCCTTAAAAATAATGTTAGCTAGTAACAGATGAGCCTGCAAAAATAATGAATTCTGAAACTGATCCATGGTTACTAATTTTCATTTTTTCAAAACATTATGAACATCACCAAATGGTAAATGGCTTGTTTATTATGATTTCCCTCATTTTTTGTAAAGAATAATTTCTTCTAAATTTTAATTAATAATAACTTACAAAAATTGATAACAAATTCTTATATTAGAAATTGTTGATAGAAAGGATTATTATACTTTTCTTAAACCTTTCTTAGCACATTAAAGTAAAACCTTTATATGTTCTTGTTTTATGATTATCATTTTTCCTCATCTAACAAATAAAGTAAAAACTCAGTATATTACTTTATATATAAGAAAATTCATTGCATAGTTTTTAATCTTAGAAAACGTTCTTAGAAAACGTGTTTATATAATCTTTCATCTGAAAAGAGTTAAAAAGAAGAACACTGGTGCTCGACCCATGAGGAATGATTGTTTCGACTGAACCTGTGTAGATAACTTTCGTTTAGGTTTATTTATGGATAAGACATTACTTGTTATATGTTGAGAAAGAAAGACTTTGACTTTGAAGAAAGCAATTAATTTCAAAATGAACCGTACAAAAATGTGTAGTTCATACAAAGAAGTAACTTTCAGACGCAAACTAGAAGAAAAAGTGCTTCTCGAAACAACTATTTTTCATAGAAATATTGAATTACACGAAAGAAAAAATATTTCCACAAATACTTTTATATGAACGCTGAGTTATACGAAAAACACTTCTCTATGATCCGTTTGTATTCCAAACATTCGTCATGGATTCGAATCAGATATTATTCATAGGATTCCTACGCCATATAATTAATAAAAGATTAAGTTTCACTCACATGGAACACTGTCATCCTCACTGGTGAACATCCGATGTTTCGCCGTAAGACNGATGACATTCCGGAGAGGTGCATATGAAATGCTCCAGGTTCAGGTGAAAAACATCTTACCTCTTGCCTCTCATGTGGACCTACTATTTTGTAGGTACGTGTGGGAGATAGCCGACGAAAAGACAACAACTATTCCAACTAATGCCTCGCAGAATGGTGAAGTAGAAACATCAAGCACCTGTGCAACATCTTCCACTTCGCCAATTACTTCCTGCATATGGAAAGTAGAAATTAATTTCACTTGTTTCGTACGACCAACCGATGGACCGGTTTCGGGGTACAACCCCATCATCAGTACCGGGCAGGTCACTTCAGACGGAGTGAACCGTCTGACTACCCCACCAAACAAAATTAATTCCAGCTAGTCATAAAGTCTTTCTGCAGTTGATTCAGTAGGATGTCTACTGAGCCTCCTGCAGACTAAGACAGGAAGCAACTCCACAAATACATACTCCGGGGTTGGAGTCAGAATAATGATGACATTCCAGAGAGGTACATTACATGCCGAAAGTTCAGGTGAAAAACACCTCCCCCCTTGCCTCTCATGTGGACCTGCGATTTTGTAGGTACGTGTGGCTGATACCTGACGGAAAGAACAACTAACCCAGCTAATGCCGCGCGGAAAGCTGATACCTACAAAATCGTAGGTCCACCTGACAGGCAAGGGGTAAGGTGTTTTTCACCTGAACTTTGGGAGTTTTTATATTTTTTTCCAGAAATTGTGCTGATTTTGAATAAAATTCAATAAAAAAGATTCATCCAAGTTTCCAGTGACAACTTGTATTAAAACCAATACACGCCTTTACGTTTCACAATAAACTTATGATACTTCCTTAAATTACGTATCAGCAACCACCTGCATTCCAATTCTGAAATCCGTAATACTCGAGGAAAGCATGTCTGGTAAATGTATTACATTGGATGGCTGGCATACACAATTCATAGGATGTTTTGAATTTTACCTGGTGTGATAGTCATGTTTGGAATACGAGTAGGTATTTATTAGTTATTATTCAACATTATGCCAGGAGTCGTACGTTGAAAGATAATACCTCATTAATCCTAAGTTTCCACTTAGTAGCGGGGTGACAGCTGGTTAATGAAAAAAAAGTTTAAACCAATAGTTTCATCCTCGCCAAGTAAATTACACAATATCTAGTGTACTGTGTATGTAAAGTGGTCATTCAATGTAGAAATATTTTCAGAGGACTTATTCGAGAGAATACAATTTTCTAAAGGGATTTCATATGTATCCATGGATTCGGCCAAGGCTACCAATTCATATAGCTTTTTTCCTATGAAATATTAAGCAACATGTTTTAATAAGAATTTGGATAAATATTTCCCCATGTTTTAGTAAAAAGTTGGATAAATATTTCCCTCTGCATTCGAGATTCAAATGCAGTAAAAGTTTTCTCAAATATCATTTCTTCATTTATTCTCTAGTTATAAAGTTTGATGTTGTCTCCCTAAAATTTTGTTAGTATGACTATACGGAATTGTTAAATACAGCTTTATTATATGTGATTCAATTGAAAGGTACCTGATAAAAATCCATAACGTATTCAAGTTACACTTTATTGTGAGCTTTTCACTGCACAGTTTACAAAACCGCAACACGTGTTTTGCTATGTAATAACTTCCTCAGGCGTGTTCATACTCAAACACGCCTGTTTTTGTAAACAGTCCAGCGATAATCTTCAATGAAGTACTATTTGAATGAGAATGTTATTTGAATCGTTTTCTTAATCAAATTTGTATGATCAATATCAAATTATTATTATCTATCATCCATTACCATCTAGTTGTACTCTAAAGTTTCATGAAAAGACTGATTTTTTTCAAACATTGAAGGTAAATGTACTGTTTCTCAAACAACATATTTTGGTAATAAACATGTTGCCTAGAAGTAAAGGAATGATCATATTAATACATCAGTTATCAAGGCCGTAGCCAGGGGGATTGATCCCCCCCGAAAGTTATACAAGCAACGGCCATCCAAAAAGTATATCAAATACAACATTTAGTTTGTTTGAACATTACAGGAGCTATGAGAATAACGCTAACCGCGGCAATGGAATTAATTACTGGTCTTTCCCCTCTGGACCTGTACGTTAAGGAGGTTGCGTTAATGGCCATGTTAAGATTGCACATGGCTGGTATAAACCTCGAAGTAGGAATGGATCAATTGAGGCTGAGCCTATTGCGAGAAGCGCTCACTGCGCAACCTCTGCTGCAGGCAACCAGTGATGCAATAGTACCCAGGGTTGTGTTTAATAAACCCTACAAAATACAAATGAAACAGAACACAGAGTCAGATGCTACAAATGCAATACGCATATATACGGATGACTCAAAAACCAAAGAAGTCTCAGGATGTGGAGTGTACTCCAGATCACTCTAAGCCTAAGGATTTAGTGGGGAATGGGAAAAAATACCAGCGTGGTTAAAACAGAACTGGCTGGAATCTCAATTGCCACCAAAGAAATAACCAGCAAAGGAATTTCTGGCAAAAAAATAACAATCTACACTGATAGCAGACAAGCCCTATTAGCCTAGAACAGAAAACTTGTTACCTCAGGCCTAGTACTAGAGTGTCACCAAGATTTAGCCTCGGTAGATAATAACATTATCCTGAGGTGGACGACAGGATTAAAGGTAATCACATTGCCGATTCTTCGACTTCGACAATTGCGGAACTAACCAAACGTTACACCCATGATCAATCCCTAAAGAGATGGGATGAAATCAAAGGATGCATCGACATCGACACCGAGGAGATAATTGACTTGTTTGCTGCAAAGAAAGCTAGAAAACTAAATTTGATTTTGTAAAAAGATGTTAATATATCTATAATGGTTTTCTTATAAATATATATGAACATGTAACACAATTTTTCTTTTTTTCTTCATTTTCTTTCGTTGTTTTTATAGTTCATGTTTTTCTATTGTTCCACGAAATCAAACCCCCCCGAAATTGTTTTCTGACTACGGCCTTGTCAGTTATTATAATCTTTATGATTAAAACAGAATGAAAATGAATTACATTCATTCCTAATTACCAGGTCGAAGATTAAACTTCACCGAAAGTCACGTTTTGCCATTACCAGTTTCAACGAGCACTCATGTAATTAATATCAAATTAATGGAATATTTCCTTCTTCTCCTCAAATTACCATCTAATGAAAATGTTCCGACATCCGAGCTGTTATTTCCTTATCTGTCTGGATTGAATAATTAGTAGTGGATGAAGGTCGTGACAACTTGGAGAATTTACGCTGAGGTTGTGTGTGCCAACGGCACGTCCGGAGAAACTATGATTCACCATGTTAAATCCTATAGTAACAATAGGTAAGAATAATTGTCAATTCATCAAATGAGTCATGAATTTACATGCAGAGTATTCCTTTTCCATTCCCTTTGTCAGTTGGTAATTCATTTTTAATCGTTCAAAAATTGTTAAAATCAGTTTATCTGCTAACAATTTGGTGCTCTATTAGCACCCGTCAAACGTTATTGATAGACATGTGCGAGCTGCAAGCTAGGGAGAGTCTCTCTATGTTTTTGGCTTTTGCTTTCACTCAGGCTCATTAAGTCAAAAGTCTTATCTTTTGACGTGCAATCGCGACCAATAGATAAGGTACGAAAGAAGCATCGTCCACTCGTCTGAAGTCTAGATCAGTGTTTCTTAAGCTGGGGTACGAGGACCCCTGGTGCAGGTATGTGTTTGGGGGTCCGCCATTTTATCTATGAACACTCAGATTAATGAATAAATGCTACTGGATAGTAGATCCTATCAACACAGATGTTTCAGATATCATCGGCTTGACAACTACAGGGAATTTACTAAAAGAAATACCATATGATTCAGCTTTAAAACTTCATTTCAAGGAATCTTCCTTGTCAAGTTTTTTGGTGAATTAACAAAATGTTTATAACGAAATATCAGAAGAAGAACTGAAACATTTACTGCTTTTCTCATCCACACACTTCTGTGGAAAGGTATCCTCTGCTTTTGTTTACATCGAAAACAAATACAGAAAAAGGTTACAATTGGAATCCGATTTGAGATTACAACTAAGTAATAACATCAACATAAATATTACTAATTTGGTCCAAAAAAATTAGCACCAACCTTCACATTGATATAGTATTGTTAACTTTCATGAAAAAAACTAGAATCAAATGTAGTGTTGACTTAGTAATAACACATTTATTTCTCAAAATATGTCAGATGCCTGTAGAAATAGTGTTCTATAATTATCATTAAGGAGCAAAACAGCTATTTAGCGTATTTTATTGATTAAATAATTCTTCAAACGAATTCGTAAATATTACTGCATCAGCGGATTGCTTCCCGTTTTTGAACTCTTCATAAAAATGTTTTGTCTCAGTTGGCGAGGACTTTTAAATGAACGAATACATATACAGGGTGTTCCAAATTAAGTCGGCACCATTGCCAACCCCATTATTATTGTTGCTACGAAAATGGTTAAATGGGCAAACTAGTAGCATTTTTAATGGCCTTTAAATGGAACACCATATATTTTATCATGCATTTCGATTCGCAATAACATTCTCAACAACAAAGCTCACACCACCTTTCTTCCTAAAGTTGAAAATTAGTAAAAATTATTATTTCTTTCACTAGTAAAAAAAATTCTATAAAAAACCGGATTTTTTTTACAGTTTCGACTTTAGAAGTTGATATGAAATGATTTTTTTTAATTCACATAGTTGATGTCTGATTGTAATTTAAAGAATATCTTGATATGAAATCACAAATAGGAACATCTTCAGTAATCATTATTAGTATTATTTTCAACGAGGATAAGAACCAACAGTCTCTTCAACATTTATTTTGATATAAGTTAACTTTCATCCGATCTTAAGGACGTAGTACGTTAATGATCCTAATGCATATTGTGCATTGAACTACCTTACGTAGAAATTGATTATCAAAAGAATTCAAAATAAGCGCATTGTTTCATAGTGTTTTGAAACGTCTAGGAAAACAATAATTGTTTTGAATACCAAGCGACAGTGAAAAATAGTTGTGAAACATTTGTTAACAAATCCTAGAAAGGCCAAGTCTTTGAAACGTATGCGAGTCGGAACATTTACTTGGGAAAACGAAATATTACACATCCGTCATAAATTATTGCATACGAAATAATGCACAAAATAATGTGCTACTGCTCCGAACAAATTCGTCAGCACTCTATTGATTATTTTGTGAAAATATTATATTTTATGTTTTATTTTTCAACTCTGATATCTGACAATTTGAGTAATTCAGTATGCGAAATATTACACAGAGTCATTCTTCATTCCTAATTTTAGGTTGAAATTTATAATTACGATATAAAATTTACTTACTGTTAAATGATATGCTCTTAGTTTAATAAATGTGGAAACAACTATTTATAAAATATAAAAGAATTAAAACCGATAGTCCGGTCAATTTAGACATTCGAAGTTACCTAAATTCCCACCAAGCTGAAATTCAGTAANATGTACGAAGCTGCTTTTTGGTTACATATCACTGTATTTTACGTTTTTAAGGTTGATGATATGGTTGGTACGACTGATGCAGTCCATATTCCTGAAGTAATTCAAATGTTTTTTACCTTCATTCTTTAGATCGTAAATTGGTTTTTGGTGGTGTATTACGAATTTGAAATAGTAGGCGACTGCAAATACCAACCGCTTTTTTCTTTCTGAAATGTCACTCGTAACTAACCTAAAAATAGAATAATGTCACCAGGAGAAGCATTCGTTTTTAAATTAAGTTTTTTATAAGAAAAATGTTGATTATTGAAGTGAAGAGTGTTAAAGAAGGAGGAATAAGGTGTAAAGGTGACCTAGTGAATAAATGCTTGTGTTTTTAAATAGTTTATTTTGTGAAAAAGAAGGCTGAAAAGTTGCCCTTTTCTGAACTTTGAAGGGCCGTAACTTTTTAAATAAGGGAGAGCGCCACCTTTTTCTTTCGGATTCGTAATCTATGCATCAAAATACGTAAGTACAGTCAAAAATTTTTTCAAAATCGCGGGTGTCCACATAACGAAAATTCAAAATAAAAAAACATAAATGGTTAGAATTACAATTTATCTTACAAATATTTACCCAGACATTTTATTGATGATTAATGATGTTAATCATCAGTTTCGCACCATCAGAATGTGTATAGTTTAATACAAAATTTTATATATTCAAAGTTTTTTCTTCGTAATGCGGAATGATTTCGTTTTTTGCTTTCTAATTTCCAGTTAAACCAGCAGCAAATGTGCTCTAAAAAATCCCGGCTTAACCTAACGCATGACACCCGAATCAAATGAAAGTGATCCATGTCGAAACTAGGCACTAATTGCATTCTAGATTTTTTGTTTTTCTGCCGTCCTTTTGCTTTTGTTGAACCTTGAATGATATCCGGCATAGGTATGGAAATTATCAGGTGACTAGAAAACCGACACCGGGGACTTCCAAATGGAGTGATTTTTTTTGTTTTCATTCTTTGGCAGCTTATTTTGCTATGTATTGTTGTTTGAGGTTATCTTTGTTTCTGCAGGCCTCCGAAGAGCAATTTAGTGCAAGCTATCCGAATGTGCGCACCGTCGCTATCAAAAAGGTATGGCCTAGCTTTAATTTCACACATTGTATATACACCATTTCACCTCGTGAGAATTTTCTGTCATATTATGGAATTAAGTTGCGAAAATTTGGAAGGAATCAATAATTCTTTTTCTTAACTGTATTTTTTTATATAACCTTCCAGAATCTGAAAAATTTGCAAAATATAGAATATGCTGAAGTATAATAAACGGCAAACTGAAAAGTTACGCAGTAACTGAACTGAACAGTCTAATTAGTCAGTAACTTGTCGTATTCATAAATTGAATGTTTATTTTTCAGACTGTGGAAGTTTATAGACTCAAAAAACAGTGAAAGGTATTGAATCCTCCACAAAAAAAATGTATTTGAAAGAATCAACCATATTAAGCATTCATGTTTTGAGAAAGATTGGTTGGACAAGAAATTTGTGGAATAAGTATTGAGTTACATTTTTTAGCATGAAAGCGTTGATGAAATTTGAAGTAAACTAATTCTCAATGAGTTATTTCTCTAAACATATAACAAATAACTAAAGAAATAACAGTTGTGGTCAAATTCTTCATTTTAAAAATTAAACTTGGATTTCAATACACACGAAACACGTCCTCTGAGGATTATACGGGATATCAAAAGTTGAAAATTTCCTCTGTTCGTATCTTCTTTCCATGAAAAATATATGAAATCGGAGACACGTCAATTTTAATTGCAAGGGAGCAGTATCAATGAATGTTTTTATTAAATCAACAAAGAAAAGGTTGATGTTACCCTTAGAATCCGAAATTAGAATGGAGAGTCAAATGATACATTTTAAAAGCACTCTAATTTTCTTTTCAAAATGTGGTATCTTGATTTTTTTCTTTCACCGACAAAAGTACTTCTCCAGTATTATTTACACATAAAAATTATTATAATCAGTTTTCTCTTAGTAAAAATGATAACACGATTAGGTGGCTTTGTTCCAACCCTATAATGTAACAGGAAGAAAATCGTTTGTTTTTCTTTGTTTGTGTTTTTACAAAATCCAATTTTGATTTGCAAATAAAACGCTTAGAATTCACTCACTACTTATCTTATAAATTGTTCAAAATATTGTCAATTGTAATCTATAGGCTAATATAGCACGTTGTCAAACTTCCCTCTTCTGAAAACATTCCAACATGGCGGACCACCTAAGATGGCGGACTAATTTGTTTCATAAACCCCAATGATATGAGTATCAAATAAGAGGGTTTGCTAAAAAAATAGAGAGAATAACTTGACGTCACTTTAAATCCAATATGGCGGACTGCCCAGGGTGACGAACTAGTTTTTTATGCATCCCAATGATATTGGTATCAACTGAAAGGAATTACTAAAATAACATTACGTCATTACCAAATCCAATATAGCGAACCATCCACGATGACGCACTAGTTTTTTTATGCACCATCATGAATGTCTTCCATTGAAAAGAAAGACCACCTTGTGTACCTTTTTCTACCTCTTCATATATAAAATGATGTCATTTTCACAGTTTTTTCACATTTGAAGATACGGAAGCGTACAAATAAGACAGTACAAATTTGTCAATATCTTTTGCTTCTGAAAAACGACTACTTTGATATCTTTCGAGATAATGTTGCTCTTGTTTTTTAACAAAATATTAACCTCGTTATAACATGTGTAAGGCTGGTCAAAACATATAGCAGTGGTAAAAGCACTTCAAAATAATATCTCACTTGAACCCTTTTCAATCAATATTATCAGGATAATATACACACCTTGTAGGAGGGCTAAAAATATTCTTCGGAACTGTCCTTTTTTTAATATCATTTGCTGAACGGAAAATATTGTGGGAAATTGAAATTGAAACCATATATCATGAAGACATATTTTGATCCTACATTTAATATCCAATTTTTCAATGTCATCTAAAAGGATGAGCCACAAGCTTCATTTTTAGTTTTCAGGTTGGTAGTCTAATTTTTTTAAATGTTAATATTCCATAAACTACCTTACTTATAGAAATTTTGTGAAAATCTTTTCGGTACAATATATTTTTGACAACTTTTTATAAAATGTCGTGAAATTGGACGGGTTGAAAATTGGGGGCAAGTTGAAAAAACATCCATCTATGTTTAAACATATGTCACAACCTAAAAGATGATATCATCTATATGGCATTTTCGTAGGAAAGATTATCATGTTTACTTTTTACTCAAATCTGTGGCATGTCAAATCGCAATAAAGTGAAAGAGAGAAATGTAGTGAAAACATATGGATATGTGAAAAAGTAGGGGAGAAAGGACAACTAGTGAAAAAAAATGTATGACAAAATGGGAGAAATAATATACTCATGATATATATCATGATGAATACTATGAGATTTCAAAAAATGAGGTATAAGGGAACTGGTAAAGCAATAACAGTCAATAGTTTTTTTTTAATGAAGTTCAAATGGTTTTATCTATATTAAAAAATCAGTGCAACATAAATTGTTGAATATTTTCAATTTTTCTTTCATTTGTGTAACGTATATAATATTTCTTCTGCAGGTATTTGTAGATTGAAATACACCAGTATGAGACAATGTCATTTAGATATGTATAGTCTATACGAAATCAATCCGAACAGCTAAATAAAAAGCTAATGTACCGAGTCTAATAAATTTACTAGTTAATACCATATAAAACCTCCCACATAAAAAATAATTAGATCTTGTATATATACCACGTCGCCCATGCCATACAAAGAATCTGCCAACGTTCGGTAACTATTTAGTTTTTATGTCATTCGAATTGACTTCATACATACTATAATACCTGTATTATAACTCATACTAACTGGCGACCTCATGATGAATGCACCTTTTAACTTCAATCAACATATACCTAAACTATGCATCATAATCGGTTCCGGAATTTGATTTCTCAATTAACGGCGGTGTCTCGAGAAGTGGATACATTCTCGAATGGAATTCAAAACCTCGCTGAACTCCAACTTGAATATTTTCATATCCCACCGTGTTTACTTTTAACAAGGAATCTAATAAAAAAATGTTTAGAGCAATTAATTCGTCATAAAATAAACCAACAAGTCCAACAGTATGTTGATATTTTTCCTATGCGAAGAATATAAAGCATTGAATCAAATAAGTATTCAGCAAATGAGATTAAATTTAGTTTTTCTAGGATAATTGAACTTGGGTAATGAACTCTAGTTTCGTCCTGTGAGTAGGAAATGATTCATTACTCAACACTGTCGAAACAATCGCAGTTGACCAAATATTTCATTACTCAACAACCAGTCACAGATGAACGAATTCATCACTTTACCGTTTTTTAAATTATTTCCATTTCCAAGTAAACTTTGAGAATTCACCTATTTTAAATTGTTCTTCAATATCATTGAACTGATAGTTCGTTTAAAAAATATTGTTTCCAACGAAAATGAAAACGATTGGGATTAGTTAGAGACCCAAATATGTCACACTAACTTGTGAGAAGCTAGGAAAAGCATTGGTAGAACTCTAAGTTCGTAAACCAATGATCATGGGTTCAAATCACACTGACGCGACCGCAGTTTGTGATGTTTTTCAACCACTTAGTTGTTATACTATTTGAAATTAAATAAAACAACAAGAAATATTCAGGGTGGACTATGGAAAACGTACCACAATGCATAACTGCTGGGGAAAAAATACTCGCAAAAATCGAGAAACACCCCAATTTTGTTTGTAATAGAGACAACCACTTAGTTTTTGAACTATTCGAAATTAAATAAAATATCAAGGATGGACTATCGAAAGCGTAGCTGTCGGAGAAAAAACATTTCGCAAAAATCGAGAAACATGTCAAGTTTGTTTGTAATGAAGACAAGTTTTAAACTACAATCCAATGCAACAACTTCACCCTTTCTATTGGGAAGGGGTGTCAAATGATAACTTATTGAAAACGGCTATCGATTATACCCAATTGCGCTTGAATAGGAAGCAGTGGCCAATAAAGAAGGAAAGCTATCGATTATTTACCCATTGCTGCTCCACCTGTCAGGTGAAGTGCGATACACTTCGTTTTTTATATCCCCACAAAAAAAATCTGAACGACCTATATCGGGTAACTGAAGAGATCACTTAAATTTCATCTCTTCTTCCAGTTAACTCGAAACCTATTGTTTAAATAAATGCACACAGCTTGTGAGTAATCTGGTGAAGCTCCATCTCGTTGAAACATTAGTAATAGCTAGAGCGGTAGCATTTTGGAGTGGATCCAGGTGCATATCACCGGTTGAATTTTAAGACAGAAAAAAGGACTTAGTAGGGTCCAGTAACGACAATTTTCTGGTGATTAACTACACCACTCAAAAAAAGGACACTTCTCCAAAATTTCATAAACTTACATGCGGTGGTGGCTATACTTAATTACACTAACAGAATCTTATACTGATGTAACTATTACTCTTTCGATATTCCCAGGCACTTACTACTCGCCATTGTATGGCGAAACACGTTTTGCGTTTTTGTAAAACTGTTTAGTGAAAATCTCACAATTAAGAGTTTTTTGAATGCGTTATAAATTTTGAAAGAAAAAACTTAAAGGGACTTGTCAGATATGCGATGTGTCTTCTGATAATTTCAATAATCATTTCATAAATGCTGCTGACAATCATCATCAAGTCTCTGCTACGACAAAGTGAAACAGTCAATTTCAGAAATTTTTCAGCCCCTTCTAGTTCTTTCTTCTTAGGTCCGGTAACCGAGGAGGATGTTCTAGATGCCATAAAGTCACTGAAAAACTCCAAGTGTTTAGACGCTAATAAACTGAATAGTGAAATTATTAAAGAAACTTCCAGAATACTTTGTTTTAAAGTGGTTGACAATGTTTCGTGATGTTGACAATGGAAGTCCGAACTGATGAAATATTCCAGAATACTGTTGTACCATCAACTAAATTGATAAATCAATTTTTTTTTTCTGATTGATTCGGCCGTTACTTGATGAAGATCCATAGTAATTTCAAAAACTACACCTCACGATCA